AATCTTTCTAACTATAAAAATAGTTAAGTGCTGGAATAGTGAATGGAATAGTTAAGTGCTGGAATTTGTGAAATCCCGGTCATTGGAGGTTTTCAACAATAGGTTACAGCAACACCTGTAAGGGATGGTCTAGGAGGTATACTTGGTCCTGTCTCAGTGCAAGGGGCTGGACTAGACAATCTTTTGAGGTACCTTCCAACTCTACATTTTATGATTCTATGAAACATGGAGGCTCCCTCTTCCATTAAGCCCTGTCAACCAGAACATTTTCCTTTCCAAGCGTAAATGTTTTGTACATATCACAACTTTTTCATGATCATTAGTCCAAACTTTATTGCAAATGTCACTCTGATGTCATCCCTTCCTCTCTGTTTATGTGACAACCCATCTTGTTTTAATGTGTGTACTTGAACCTGAAAGCACAGAGCAACATCTAAAGGTCAGAAATAAAAGAGCTTCTAAAACTGAGATTCCTGTGCAACAGGTTATCTTCTATAGCAGGTAACAAACTATCCAATGTGGCACTCACTGAGGGTGAAATTTTCACCTATAAAGAGGACCAGTCATTTTGATGGTCCTCACACAGGCATGAATTTCTCCCTGAATTAGCATTTCGGAAAACTGTTTCTGAAGAGCACAGCACAGCATCAAACAGCAAGCAAATAGTGAGGAAGGTACCACTCTTGTTATATTTGATGGTACCATGAATCTTTATAATTTTAGCTGTTACACCTCCATGATGGGGAAAAAAACCACAACTCCAATCTGCTTTTGAGGCATGGCGTAAAACTTTCATAAGCCACCAAATTACTTAGGAGCCTAAGTCCCATTTTCAAAAGTGACTTAGGGACTTAGAAACCTAAGTTCCATTGACTTTCACTTTTGAAAATGAGACAAACTCCTAAATCATTTAGGCAGTTTTGAAATTTTTATGTATGGTGTCCATTAGATGGAACAAAGTAGTTAAGTAGGAATTTGAGGGGACAGTTAAAAGGTTTTCTCACAAGAATGAAGGTGCAAAACCATCTGATGTAGAAAAGATTACTTGAGATTATATTTTCCTTCTTGTAGAGAAGAAAAGGTTAATTTGAAAAACCTGGCAAAAAGGAGTAGAGAAGAAATATGAAAAAGCAGCCTGCTGAGAAATTACCAGAAGCTCTATTAGCCTGCACTGAAACGGGTACTGATAGTTCAAGTAAAAAAACAAAACAAATTAGCATAGCACGGTTTTCCAGTTTTAGTGTAGTATTTCTCATGTCCAAGATTGTGAAATTACCACATAAAACAAAATAACACCCACGCCCTCTCTGGCAGAAGTAATCTAAGGACCTATCTGACTGTGGTGCATTCTCTACTTTCTTCTGAGCTAATAAAATCATATTAGATGAATTCCCAGTGGCAGGAGGGAAAAGGATTCTGCAGCAGTTACTAAATAAAAGGAAAAGAATAACACTCATATAACTTAAAGTTTATGTTTCAGGGAGTTCTAGAGAAATCCAAGATCTCTGATTTTAAGTGGTTACAATTCCCCTATAAAATAATAATAATTGCTTAATTTATCTATTGCTCTTACATCTTCAAAGCCCTGTATTGATATTGACTAAAACCTGTGAGATAGGTAAATATTATCCCTATTTCACAGATGTAGAACTTTGCATTGAACAAGCCACTTTACCTCTTTTCCTCACTCAACAAAGTCAGGGACAGTCTCATGACTAGAACTCAAGACTTCTTGACTTCCACTCCTACACTCCAGAGCATACTGTCTCACAACTTCAAAAAACTGAAAGTGAAGTTCTCCCATGAAAAGTGTCAGGGACCCACAGCTGAACCCAGACCCAGCTCATTGCCCTTAGCTGATTCAGCTAATGAATCTGGACTTCTGATTGGCTGAAGACTCTAGCAGGCACTTTCTCAAATACTGCAGCAGGTCTGGGTCTCTGGCTGTTCAACAGTATTCCATGCCTGCAGCTGTGTTTCTGATCCTGCTGTCAGTGCCTTCCTTGCTCCTGTCCCATGCTCCTTGTTCCTGGCTTGCAGTCCTGGTTTCCTCCCCTGGCTCCCGGTCTCTACTCCTGTCCCTGCTCTGGCTGATAGTCTGGCTCTGACCTTTGACTCCTGATTCCTGGTTCTTGCCTCTGGCTTGCTCCCTGGACTTGGTATTTGGCTTCTGACCTCAGCTCTGTCACTTGGTTCCTGATTCCTGGCTCTCAGCCGTTGCTCATTCCCTGGGCTTGATAACTTGGCTCCTGATTCAGGTGCTGACCACTCAGCTTGGTGACTTCTCCTCCAACCACTAGGCTAGCCTCCCTGCCCACAGCCTTGTCCTTAACAAAAAGTGACTGCAAAAATGGTATGGTGAGGTTCAGTGTTTTTTCTCTCTCAATGACGCCAGATCAGATTTGTTCTGTTTACAATATAAAGCTGTTTTTCTAACTGTCAGCCCTGCAAATTAATTCTAGGATCCGAGAATCAGTAACATTCTTTCCTTCTAGTAGCTATTATGCAAGGATCAGCTATTGCATTAAAAAAGCAGTCATATTTAGATTATGAGGTGAAAGATGATAGGGCTAAACGCAGAGTAAAATTCCTCTTTTTTTTCCTTTCTCGCTCTTTCCTTTTTCCTGAGACTGTAAATATCAGTTTCCAAACACCTCTGTCAAGCGTTTCTAATCTTGACCTATTTAAATAGTGTAGCATAATTACAGTCATTGTATTAAATTGTTTTTGAGGACAGTAACACAAAGCCCTTTAATTGCTTCTAGTTGAAAAATGTTATTACATTAAAGCAATGTTGCAAGTTAATTTTTTTTAAATGATGACTTTAGGATATTTTAACAGCAAATAACTTCTTTCCTTACCCATTTGACTGCTTCTGTATCTACCAGGCAGAATGCTTCTGCTGCATTATGGAATATAGTATCTATATATACTAACATTCCATTGATTTCAATCATACGTTAATGGATAATAGATAGTAGTACACCAGGTTCAGAAGATCAGCACTGAGAGGGTTAACCATGGATGAATAATATGGCAATTATTTAGAAGGATAGAATACTGGAAATTAGATTTTGGTTTTTTTTAAATGCTCTGTTTCAAATTAATTTAAAACTTCTTGGCCTATGAAAAGATGCTTTGGATTCCCTTATAACCAATTTTGTGGTACTCAAATTGTAATGATCCATAAAACCAATGTCCCTGTTAAGTCCATGATTTTTGGTGTTTAGCACAGTTACGAATTTAAGTTTCCAGGTTCACCTTTTGAGGGGTTGTGCAGGTTTCCCTTAAGGACAAGTATTAAAAGATCAGGTATAGAATGGTTGCTTTGAGACCAAGATAGCTACAGCATATCCTGGGACCAACACAGCTACAACAACACTGCGAACAGAATATTCTATAGACAATTTAGCAACCCCACTGAAAAAAAATTAATTTGGTTCTTGACGCTGCTCTCCTTAATGCTGGAGACTGGAGCAGTGACCAGGATCAGGTGGGAACTTTGAAGGTGGCTTATTACAGCATTCCTCCCCCACCTCCTGAGCTGCATTGAGCCTACGTCTAGAAATGAAAGTACAGGTTGCTCTCTGACAAAAGCAATGGAATAAGAAATAAAACACTAAGACTAAAGCCTTCTTCAAGGATGGCTGTCGAAGAGAAACTGAAGTCTAGATGTATAGACTACTAGTTTTTCAGAACAGCTTAGTTTCAGGATTTTTTTCATGCATGCTGACATTGTTTAGCAAGTATCTGATCATATATAACAGAAATCTTTGCTGGAATGGCTAATGAGGACAAGCTACATATCATTAAGTCAATATACCTGAAAAAAAATCTTTGAGAAGATGGATTATATCTGCCATATTCTTTTGCAGCATCCCTTGGCCCCTGAAAAGTATTAAACTTCTTGTTGTTCAAGGGTTGCAAAACAATTTCTTATGGTTGCTGTGTCCATTTTGGTTTCAAACATCTTATTTTAATATTCCAGAAGATGCATTTTAAAGATTTCATTATCAAGTTAATGGTCTTAAAAAAGAAGGGGAGAGAGAGAGAGATTAAAAGTACTTTTCTTTGTGAGGGAAATGAAATGTACTCATCTGTCATCTGATACCACAGAGTAAAAAATGGACTTTGGTTTGTTTTATATTTGTAGCACAGAGGGTCCCAAGCATCTGAAAACAGGGTTTCCCAGCCAAATTGACTTGACCAGGTACATGGTAATAGGAACACTACCTCCATAAGGTAGCAATTTAAAGTAAGACATCAGCTGGTTCAAATTGGGTCCTAAAACCAGCTACCTTTCATTCTGGATACTTTTGTCTCTATTAGTCCTTCTCCCTCATAACAGCAGTTGTATCCGATAGTTGAGTAGAGGAGATTAGACAGACTCCTATGAGAATGAAGTGGTGCTGTAATCAATCACTAAGGTAGAGAAGCAGGATGGATACTGCACCTTTCTTCTTTGCAATCAAGAACATGACATTTACATGCCTTTGAACCCGTTTCCTGAGGAACAAGTTAGGTTTCCTGCATGGCAATTCAGTGCACAAACTACAAAACTTTAGGTCTGACCCAAAGTTTGCTTTCCCCTTCCTCTTATTTTACCTTTGTATGCCTCCACTAGGCATGTGAGAGTTAACTATTTAGTTGGAGGCCTTCTCCAAAGATTGTCCATTTTCTGAGGTCCTTCACAAAAATTTGTGTGCTTAGCACCCTTCATTTTGATTTCTCTTGAAGTCAAGAGTGAAGATGTTTCTTCCTAGACTCTGGAAGAAAACAAAACATGCTCATTATGCTCAGCAGCACTGTTGCTAGCAGATGGGCATGCTCAAAGTCCTCAAATGCTTCCATGGCTTCTTCACATTTCATCCATGTGAGCAGCCCTTTGAACATTCTGAGCCACTCAGGGGAATGTGGCTGGGCCTAGACCATTCCTTTCTCCCCAGGAGCCTCTCCTCTTCCTAGGCTCTTTACTCCCCTTCTGCTTCCTTTACCCTCAGGAAGCCAGATGCTTTTAAAGAAGAAGGGACACAGAGCTTCCAGAACACAGCGGAGACAGGCCTACCAGATTGGTGAGCACCATTTTTAAAAACACTTGAAACGTTCAGGCACATGCATGCCAGCACAGGCAGGGAAAACTAGAGGCTATTTGTGCAAAACTTTGAGCATGGAAAATACCAGTTATTGTTATACTAAATAGCATTTTATCCTCGCTGGTTAAGAAGTTAGATACTGCTGCCACGCTGGTGCTGAGGACTGCTAGCACCAAATTGAATGTTTATGCACCAGTGCACTCGTCCATATGGCACCCAAGACTTTGATAAAGTTAATGGTATTGCAACTGTTTCACATTCTGCTAGTACTGAGAATGCTGATATTATTCACCCATACCAGGAAACAACTTTATCCTTCAGGAGTTTACCTTTTAAAGATAGTGCAAGTTAGGAATAAATGATGTGGTATGGAGGCATTCCAGAAGGGTGCTACTTCACTGAAGTCATTATTACAACTCTTTAGTCATAATCACATCCATATCATGCCACTCATTATCATGCCCATGCTGATAATTACTCCAGTAGGTCGATTTTAGATCTTATGGAGTCCATGGAACTATCCAGGGTAGTTTCTGCCCTGAAATACATATACTGTCATATATTGGATCTTATTTGGAGTCTGGATTAGGAAATACACCTCTACCCCGATATAACACGACCTGATATAACATGAATTTGGATATAATGCGGTAAAGCGCACTTCCGTGGATCAAAACAAATTCGATATAACGCGGTTTCACCTATAACGCGGTAAGATTTTTTGGCTCCCGAGGACAGCGTTATATCGGGGTAGAGGTGTAATGCAAGGTGAATGATGATTATATTCTTGTCATATACGGGGTTTACAATAGACGGTGATAAAAGATGGCAAGAGCAACCTATCATAGCTTCTGTTAACAAAAGAGAACCTTTAGCATAATTTTAAATTCTACTTATAGAGCCAAGAAATCAGAAATAATTAGAAAACTCATGAAAAGCACTAAAACTCCAGGCCTGAAACTATTAATTGTGAGTAGCCTCATGAAAGTTAAGGGAACCACTTTTATAAGTAAAGGCTGCAGGGCTGGGCCCTTAATTAGATAGTAGCCATTCCTTCTGATTACAAGGTATCTGCACATCATATGAAAATCTCACAGAAAAGACACATCTTCTCTGCACTCATAATTGGCTCAAGAATAATATCCTTAGCCCTTAGATGATGTGGATGAATTCAACAACCCACTATTCTTGTATCTGCACTTGCTAAGCAAGATTATCATAGCTCTAGGTTCTCCTCATAAAATTACCTGAACAGATCAATCCTATCAGAATCTCTCACTATGTTGTGCATATCTCAAAACTGTAGCAGCATGGTCTTCCCCTTTAAGCGCCAGGGGGCCCAGGGAGCAGCCAATCCTGTTCTACAGAGGAGCCCAACAGGCAGTTGCTGGGATTCATTTGATGGAGCTGGACAACATCTAGTGATTAGGTTTGATGATTCCCAGATAGGGAATATAAAGAAAGGCCTCAGCTACATGAGGCTGCCTGGAACCAGGAGAGGGCTGGGTGTACGCTCTCTTGTGGCTGCAGCAGAAGGCTGCAAGAAGGCAGGCAAGCCCTAAACACCCACCATGGGGAAGGTCCAGCCCATTAAGCTATCACAGGCCAGCAGGCCTCACCATCTCAGTTAAGAACAGGACTGTTGCTTTTTGTTATTGTTCAGTTTTCCCAAGTTAAAGAATAAACAGAACCCCGAGGTAAGAAATATAAACTGAACTGGGTGTGGCCGATTATTTTATCAGGTCCACCAGCCTATAGAACCCTTATAAACAGTTAGCTTCTAAGGAGGGCCATGAGACAGGCCCTCCTCATTTCTCCCCTACTACATACGCACTCTTCTTTATGCAGATCTGGCCACACAAGATAATGTCGCCTAGGAATTATAAAGCATCTCCAACTCCCTACATTGATTTGATGCCTATCAGTGAAACTCTGAACAGCTGGCCTTAGGCAAAATCTAGTTTCTCTTTCGCCCCCTTTTCACTACTTATTTTTAGTAAACTGTAATTATTAAGCTTACTTGTATAATGTTATGTTATGTACAAAAAAACCCCTGTAACTTTTCCTATGACTTCTCCTCATACGTAAACGTCTATTTAAGAAATGGCTGCTGACAAGGAGAGGTTTCAAAAATATCTTTTTTGTTCATACAAAATGTCTGTATATGAGCAACACTCTTCATATCAGTTTTTGCCTTGAAGAGAAGCCTTGTGTGTATGTTTTTTTCTTTGTTTTAAACACCTTGAACTCAAGTTAATCAGGAGAGGTGTTTTGATGTTCTCTTACAGGAGAAACCCTTAACACTGAGGCTTTGGGTCCAGTCTGAATGGTCTCAAATTCATCATTCCAGCTTCTGTGATCTGACAGTTTCTAAGGACCAAATTCATTGCTGGCATAACCATATATCTCCCATGTACTTCAATGGAAGTTGCACCCACTCACATCAGGGATGAATCTGACCCTCTATCTTTGTATTCATACTCAAATCTTAATCCTTACACAAATTATTATAAAGTAAGAAACAGTTATAAGAAACTCTGTCCGGTTGCCATGTATTGACTATGAGGAGGCTTCTGTGCCATTGTCTCTTGTTTTGAAGAACTTGGCACTGATTAAATTATCAGCCCCATTTTTGTCTTGCAGCCATCTCTGAGTGTATGGCATCTATCCCATCTTGCATGAGGGCTCTGGAAGAACATCAACTTTGGCACCATGTCTAGTCTTAGACCCACCTGTGCACTGTCATCTTTCTTAGTGCCAGCAACCTCTTTGGTGTTATTACTTCATGTAGTATCAATCATCAGTAACATTCCCTTCCAACTACAGCTGAAAATGTTCCACCTCAGAAATGAAAACATTTGAATCCATCCATATTGTCTGTGAGGAAAAGGACAAAAAAGAACTTAACAGTCTTAATGGTCTCAAGACTCGTAGGTGAAAACCCTGCTAACTTTTTGAAAGAACTAAGGCACCTGCTGGTAAGTATTGTGCTGGAATCCTCAAGGGTTGCTGATCTCAGCTTCAGTTCAAAGATCAGGAATAACTTAGTATTTAATCTCCTGGTTCACATGGAAACCATGAGATTCTGTCAGGCTGTCTCTGGATTCTCACACTGGACCTGACCTGCAGCCTAGGACGGGCCTTTGGAGATACCACAAACACCCAACCTTCCTGGTCAGACCACTATCCACTACCCCTATCCAGGCAAAGGTCAGAGCCTTGCATCCATCCTTCCAGGGAAAATCAAAGCTGGTTTGCCCTCAATAATTCTTGAACCCTTTACACTTTCAACTTGCCCTGGGAGAGCAAGCTACAAAGCTAAGACTCACAAGTTGGTGTGTCACTACCTGACAGTCGCTACTGTCAAAGCCTTTGCCCTGAGTTTCCCATGTCACCAAGAAGATCACGACAGTTCACAGGTAATCTCCAGTGGATGGAAGTACACAAGCAGAAAACTAAAATGCTGATGACACGCAACCAGATCTGAATCCAGGCATCAACAGCATAATGACTTCTACAGGATGATGCCACCACAGTAAAGAAACCTTTATCATCACCACCTCCTTTGTCTCCCACTTTGTTGGCTCTCTGTCATTCTGTGTCAGTCTAATGGGTACCCGCCAAAACAGTTAATAAATATACTGGAATAAAATAAATTACTATTGAAATGTAGAAAAATGTTTTAAAAGAATTAGGAAGATTTCACAGAAACATGCGTGTCATTCTGAGAGCTCTAACATCTTGTGCCCACGGATGGAGGAATGAAGGAAAATTTCCCTCTAGGTAGGAAATAGTATTCCTATTAGCAGTAACATCAGTTAGGACAGTAGTAGAAGTTACTGAAGTCTGAGCCTTTTAGCTGATACCTGACAAAGGACAGAATTTATACACAACCCCTTTTTATCTAAGTAGCCTAAGTTAGTATCATTATTCCAGGCTTTACCCTGAAAGTGACCTAGACAGAAAGCACCATTTTGAACACATGCAAAAAGGAAATAACAAAGAAAGTGAGAGGAATGGAATGCTGTCAGAACATTGTAGAGCACACTGGAGAATTCTGAAACTCAATTAATCTCCTGAAATTATTTTGAAGGCCTCCATATGCTTCTATATCCACCATCAGAATGGTGAAGGTTTCTGAGGAAAACATAAAAGCCAAAACAAACCCCTTTATATTAAAAAGTACACTCTGCAAGGGGAGTAGCTCTTTCTTTGGCCGAACTAGATATGGTATCTGGTCATTATTCTACATCTGGAAGATTACTGATATGCAAAAACATTCTTCTGACCCATGACAGCATAGTCCTAAAATGGGTGACATATCTTGCCTTTATGCCCAGCTGCATCCATGATTTTGCGATCTGCCACCTCTACTGAACGAACATGAGAAGACAAATAAGGGTTAATCACCATAGGCCAAGTCCTTTTTCAGCCCTTCCTCAGAAAAAAGTTTCATTGACCTCAATGAGAGTTTGGCTGAGTAAAAAATAAGTTCTTCAGAACTTGACCCCATGAAAATAATAACCTTTTCCTTACTGACGTTTTCCTCCGGCACACACTTCCATCCTTATCTTTATGGAAAGGAAATGTTCCTTAATTTCTCTCAGTCAAAACTGGGAGTTTGCTGCGATTATACAATGGGAAGGAAGTCTTAAGGTGACGTGGGGAATTCCTAACAGGACTTAACAGCTTTTTACAAGCCATCTCCCAAACTGGGAATTCCCTTAGCATGGGGAAGTTCCCAGGAGGTGTAGACTGGCGTAGCCAATTCTTAACTTCCCCAACCCCCTGCAATCCTCAGTACAGGAGGTGAGGAGGGGTGCAAAAGGGGTGTGGCTGGAATATACTATACTCTGGCTATCCCCAAATTGGAGCTCATAGCCAGCTGGTGAAGTTTAGAATAGCCCTCCAGCTCCTCTGATCTATGCTGAAGTTGATATAGAACCAGCTCCAGCATCACTGCAACCAGCTTCCTCATG